TTTTTTTTCCTCGTAACTACAATCCTCGTTTCAAAAGAGAAGCTTTCTGGCCGTGACAAGAACTATTATTAGAAAGTGACATAACAGAGGAGAGTAATCCCATTATGGTGAAAGTAATGATAATATGAGCCGTTTCCATATTAGGATGCTTTCAGAATTCATTGACCGAATAACGAGTTTTACTGTCGGCTGAAATTGATAAAATATTTCTGTTACAAAGAAAAGAAAACAAAGATAGGAAAAATTTTAGATTTTAAGAAAATTATGTTTCACATGTACAGTAATTGTTATCGATCTTTCCAAGTAGTGATGGTGGGTTTAAATCTCCATATGGCTCATTCTATCTTTCAACTCATTTCGTTTGCACGTTGTCACATTTTCCATTGACATGAAGTGAAACGAGATTATTTCGAATCATATGCTAAGTCTGATGCTAAGAAAATAGGTTCGTTATGTCGTGTGAAACAATTTCTCGTATCAGAATCTACCGAGCACAAGGCCTATAATTCTGCCATACTTCTATGCATCGAATATTGCTGCAAAATCTGGTCTGTCGTTTCGGCTTCATATCTCGAGATTCTTGACAAATATATGCAATTGTATCTGTTGACCTGAAATCTCGTCTTCCCGTAGCTTCACTGACGTTTTCTATAAATATTTCCATGGCAATTGCTCTGGTGAAATTAACTTCCCGAATTGTAAATACTCATTGGAGGTAGTTTTTTTAGAATTTTTGTTTTATTTCCCCCGCCCCACAGACAATGAATTGTAAATATGGGGACTAGTTAGTATTTTCATAGAGACAAAGAGGTATTATGGTGATTGTAGAAAGAAAGGTACATATGAATGTGTTGTTTTGGTGTAAGGAATATTGTTCGTACGATTGGGTCAGTGTTTGTGGCTAGCTAACTTATAGTTAAGACTGAAGAAGACCGTCATTTCCCCAATCACACCTTTCGGCCATGTGCTACATTTCTGTATTAAACAGAATAAATATCACTTAACTTCCCGAATTCAAGCGTAATTCTAGATTGTCTGCTAGGTTTCATTGTTTCACTGTAGATGTTAATAGATATAACCATAAATTCTATGCGTTTATTGCCTGTGTTACTATTTACCAGCTTCTTGCTTTCCTGTCATCTACGATCTTCAAAACGTTTAATGCACTATTGTCATCGTTTATTGCCTTGAATCCTGTTCACATATAGTCTTCTTTTACTCTAGGTAAAATGTTTTGCTGGATGCGCTGGTGTTGTCATGGATAGCGGTTCGAAACGAGAAATCCGAGAGTTGAGTTCGAATTTCTGTCACGTTCGCTACATTATCTTACGCGTAAAAACCCTTGGGAAATCTAAGAATGTATCTATCTTTCTCCCAACTATGGATTAAATAGTAGTATATTATCCGGTAAAATAACAGTTATCTGAAAAAATTTAACGCGTTATGCACACAAAGATGTGAATTATTCTTATAGTTCAACGTATGTTTCAGTTTTACATAACGCACAATGTGTTGATAAGCTGTAAAAAAAAAAACAACAAAAAAAAAAACAAGCAATAAAACAGCTTTATGTCTTATTGGTTTTGATCGTATTGCTTGTGGTGAAATTGTTTCTAAATAAGTAGTGCGGAACGTCAATAGTGTAAATATATATTATTTTTCTTCGAGATACAAATTTAAATGACCTTACGACTACATCCTGTTCAAATATGAAAGTTAAGCTATGTCGAGCCACGTACATGGGTGACCGCTTGCGAATAACCAGGTGCAACAAGCCTGGATTTGCGGGTACTGTAATGGATAATGGATTATGGATCGGAATTGTAAATCAGAGAGCCGAGTTCCAATTCTGGTTGGGTTCGTTATATTCATTTACGTGCAAATATACATGGGAAAGGTATGAAACTACCTCTCCACCCCCCCCCAGTTGTAAGGTTAGTTCGTAAAATTTGTATAATTAAACGATTATTATCCTCCAAAACAAAATAAGTACGAAATATTTAGATGTAAGCATTAAATCCTTAGGATTTGATATGCCGCTAAAAAATAAATAAAAAAATAAAGCCAACGAATTTAAATAACTTTCTAGAAATCGGAACGGGTGACGAATAAGGTGTGAGTTTCCTATATATATATATATATATATATATATATATATATATATATATATATATATATATATTGACGAGCAGTAAACTTAGAATAGATCAGATAATCCATCTTTCGTAATATCCTTGATCTAGCTACCGTTACCAAATGAGCTCGTTTATTTGATGATGTACAAGCTACTACAGCTGGATATGGATAATTTTGTCTTAATATTAAGCATTTAGCTATTAATGAGGGAATAATTGTCTAATTGGCTCAAAATGTATCAACCTTTCCGATAGCTGGATCAAATATATATTACTACCTATTTGCCTTCCATTCTTCAAAGCAGAGTGGCTTGTTGTCCTTTGGTTCAAGAAAAACTGCATTCACCATAATCACTTGCCAGCCAAGTCGACATCGTTTCCTAGGCATTCAAATGCATGCATGCGTGCATGTCTGCATGACGATGAGAAGACTCGCGATTTCCATTGTCCGCGTTTCGTTTTAGCTTTCAAATCGCTGTTGCTGGTGCAGATAGTGTGCGTTGCTGAGTATTTCCGGAATCTTACTCAAGTTGATTAGTGGCATTCACCCACAGATGGAGAACTAGGATGAAAGAGATTTGAAGTGAAAAGCTCTGGAGACACCACCCCCACCTGGTGCAGACACTCACTATCAGTCGTTCTTTCTTTCTTTCTTTCTTTCTTTCTTTCTTTTTGTGGATCTTTCTACTCTTCTCCGCAAAGTACTCTTGTTCACTTCACTTAAAGCACTTATGAAAGCACGTATTCGCATAAACCTTCGCGATGCTTTCACCGTCAACACTTATGCGCGTAAAAAACACATAGGACTGAAAAAAGAGACGATATCACCAATGCACTTTTTCTTTGATATATTTCCACATAAAGGTGGGGGTCAGATGACAGACAGACAGACATAGTCAGATTAACAGACAGACATTCATATAATTATTGACTTTATTGCCTGTTTGTACAATGCAAACCGCTGTTGAGAAAGGGATTTTCTAAGATTTATTATGGAACAATGCACGCTTATATATATATATATATATATATATATATATATATATATATATATATATATATAAATAAAGAAAGAACAGCAAGATATATAATCCGGTGTTCTTATTGATATTTTTATTTTTACAAAATAGTGCTCAATGTAAATTTACAGAGCATTAATATTATAAATTAATTGATTTAAAATATGGCTAGAACTGTGTAGAAAAAAAAACATATTTTAAATCAATTTTATATATATATATATATATATATATATATATATATATATATATATATATATATATATATATATCCAAGTATAGGATTAGTGTATACGGAATAAATTCGAATAACCAAAAAAAAAAAAAATACAGAGTAGAGCAAATAGAATTTATTCAAAAATTATAACATAAATATGTTATAAAAACACTACAAAAATAAACATTTTGTCTCAAAACTTCTGGTGTCTTATCAAGTGATAGTGTTGAATGTATAATAAAGGTTTTTAAAGTTAGGCGTGATGTCGACATAGAAATTGTCTGACAGCCATGACTGTGTACTCTTGCTTGTATGGCCTGGTGCAAAGTCCTGTTGCCAGTATCTTCCAGCAGCCACACAATTGATCTAGGGCAGCACTACGTTCTAAAGTCACTTGATGTAGGCCTCCATATTGAGTGTGAGGCCGTGTGGAGAGATGAATGTAGGCACAACGCCTCATTCAAAAGTTCACTCCAAACATCATGATGTTGACTGGATATATCATCCAAATGTTTCCGAATCCTCTGCACTGTCCTCAAATTGACAACCAAACACTCTGAAGTGTTTGTAATGGAGCTTTCGTTGAGAATGTCTAACGGTACAGCGCGCTGTTCCAAAATTTCTGGCGGAGTGATTTCAGTTATGGTGCTCTTTGTTTCATAGAGAGTGTCCAACTGACTCTACTGCCGAAATCAAAAACAAACAACGTGCAGATGCGAAATAAAAAAAAAATAGCAACAATTTACACATCTCAGCCTATATATATATATATAAATATTTATTAAAGACATTTTTATGTTTAACGTTCTTTTTATAGATACAAGTATTTAAGTAAATGCTCTGTTTATAATAAACAGTATTAAATAACATTTACCGGCCTAACATTATAAACAGAGCATTTACTTAAATACTTGTATCTATAAAAAGAACGTTAAACATAAAAATGTCTTTTAATAAATAAATTGTCGGACTTTGTCCATTTCTTAATATATATATATATATATATATATATATATATATATATATATATATATATATATATATATATATAAAACACGTGTGTGTGTGTGTGCAAGGTTTAATGGATTTAATTATTAATCCAGTATTATCTTTATTAATCTAGACTGTATATTAGTATATATCCATCTTTGCGTATACGCACCGTTTTGTTAAGCATGTTTCACATAATTCACACTGTTTAAAACATGAGTTGATTAATAAAATAAGTGGATACAATGCAGTCATGTTTGGACTAGTAATATGTATATATATATATATATATATATATATATATATATATATATATATATATATATATATATATGTGTGTGTGTGTGTGTGTGTGTGTGTATGTATATGTGTGTGTAGAGAACGTCTTTTGTCATTTAAGTAAAATGTCTATTCTTTAGCTCATCATCAAGCTGCTATGTATCTTCTAAATCAATTCTTTTTCATTTGTTCTTTGTAGGTAATTCAATATATTGAGAGTCCCACAGCATGGCTTCCCCCACACCGTCCCAAAGTGATACAGGTACTAGCGGATCAACAGCGTCAGACAGCGAAATAAGTTTAGAATCGTGCCCACCAGGTCTCAGCACAAAATGTCCAATATGTCAGGAAACATATACCATGCCCCGCGTTCTCAACTGCTTTCACACGTTTTGCCAACCGTGTATTGAGAAGCAGCAGGATAATCCAGAAAAGGTCATCTGTCCCGAATGCAACCACGAGACCTACTTGGGCTCGCTGGGAGCGTCGGGTTTGATGCAGGACTACGCCGTCAGTAACATCCTGGAGACGTCAGCCATCGACGCCAACGGCCTACACTGCACTGGTTGCAAAAGCAAAGACACAACAGCCGTTGCCAAGTGCTACGACTGTGCTAATTTTCTCTGCGCTAACTGTGTCATGGCGCACCAGTTCATGCATTGCTTTGAAGGACACCGCGTCCTGACCTTTACAGAGGTACAAGGCGGGAAAGACGAACTGCAAAGCGAGAAACCAGTCGCTTGCCCCCGCCACAGACACGAGGTGATAAAGTTCTTCTGCAAGACGTGCTCGGCCCCGATCTGCAAAGAATGCACATTATTCGAACACGGCCGAGGACACGAGTGCCACTTTATTTTGGACGTTAGCGACAAGCAGGTTGACATCCTCCGCCGTCTCTCTGACGATGCCAAGGCAAAGGCGTCCGACCTTCGTCAAGTAGCAAAGGGCATAGAACATATCAACAACAGGTAAGATACACATATCAAATTCTATTTGTGTCAATCTGACATGTTTGTTTTTATCTAGCCTTTCATGTAAATTCTGTTTACCAAAGCTATTTTCCTCTATCTCTATGTACGCATAAACACACGCAAACGCAAACACATGCAGACGCAAACACATACAAAGGCAATATATATATATATATATATATATATATATATATATATATATATATATATATATATAAATGAGAGAAAAGAACAAATGGAGGAAAAATCCACTGTTCGTCGTATTTACTTTTTAAAAAGTGCTCAATACAAAGTAGAGCAATATATTATGATGACATTTTTATTATAAAACATTATAAGCAAAACATTTTTTTGAAATCGCTACACAAATAATTTCATACTTCACTACTATGATTGTACTTCATCAGTCGATGGTAAGTAACTGGTGATTAAATGATGTTACCACTTTTCCGAATGTTTTTGTGGAGACATAAGGGCAGAATTATAATATACTTGTGGGTATGTCTAGATTAACCAATTAAATACCCGATCTACGCTATTAAGTATGGTCAGAGAGTGAATGTGGGTGAGTTATTTTTAATGTCACGATAACCAGTACATACACATGCTCTCTTTGACGCTGCCATATTTTCCGCAATCGTCAATTTCCTTAAAAATTATTTAATCACCTGTTAATTAACATCGCCTGAAGAAGTACCATTATAGTATTGAAACATGAAAGCTTCTGTGTAGTTATTTCACAAAATGTTTTAGTATCATATCATATAATATAATATATAAATAAATGGGAATTTGAATGATCATAGTTAATTCATCGGGGGTAGAAGAGATCTCAACAGAATGCGAAAGGCACTGGACGGCCGTTTCGTCTTATTTTTGGGACTCAAAAGCAGTGCACATCCACTACCGAATCGAAGCCAAACTGTTACGATACAACGCAAGCGTCATACCCACTGGACCAACGTGGCTCGTTAACGGAGAGAAAACAAACCAGACTCGATATAACGCCAGCTATTCACAAATTCTGTCATGTGATTATACCAAAGGATTTTGACTCATGTATCACGTGTTCTATCCTGAAGTCGCTTCATCCGGAGCATTAGAATAGATTCTTCTAGACTCGATGAATTAATAATGATATATATATATATATATATATATATATATATATATATATATATATATATATATATATATATATATATGAGTGTGTGTGCAGAAGTGTGTGTGGGGGCTAGAGAACGTACAGAAAGTTCCTCATAAGGTGCTCCTGCGAAAAAAAAATGTCTCTTCTTACATTTTAATGTCTGTTGATAAATATTGTTTCATTTTACTTTGTCTCTGCCCCCTCTCTCTTTCGCTATATATATATATATATATATATATATATATATATATATATATATATATATATATATATATATATATATCGCTATCTCTTTTTCTCCTATATGTGCGTATTAGTCTTTTGTTGCTGTTCGTATGTACCTGATTTATATTTTCTTCGGTTAATATCACCCTATATCAGTTCTAATCTATCTATCTATCTATCTATCTATCTATCTATCTATCTATCTATCTAGCTAGCTAGCTAGCCATCTAGATAGCTATCTAAAGATAACAACAATGCTCATTAATGCATAAAAAAACAAATCGGCCAAAAAATTAGTGGAGTATGACGTCTTTAAAAAGGGTCAAATTATTGTAAGCAAAAATTCAAAGACATTTCTTCCGCCTTCAAGTTTCGCTGATAGGCTTCTCGTCAGGGCAATACTGATATTACACTGATTAGCAGTGTATTTCCAAAGGTTGAATTCGGATGATCTGTATTTTGAATTTCTTTATCTCCTTACATTCCATGTATCTTTCTATATTTCTATGGCTATTTATCACTTCTTATCAACCTGATTATATATCTTGTTTATCTTGCTTTTATTGCTTTTGAATCTGTCTTTTCCTATATTTATTTTACATAAGCCTGTATTATTAACACTGTTTTCCCACGTTCTTCTTTCCTAATCATTATCTTGCAGACTTCAAATCCAATATCAGAAAGCACAGGATGACATCACTGAAACCTACAACTTCTTCCGAGCTGTGATTGAAGAAAGAAAACAAGAGGTGCAACGTGAATTGGATCAGGTATTTAACGGTAAGCAAATCGCCATAAGCACCCTGGCTCAGAAAATTCAAGAGAATATTGAACGAATTTACCAAGGCTGCGATTTCATAGACAAACTCTTGAAGCATGCCAGCTCGTCAGAAATCCTTCTTTTCAAATCCTTCATAGAACAACGCTTCCAAAATGTCTTCAACTTTCAACCGGACGTTAACAACCAAAACTACTATGACATGGAATTTATTTCCAATTTTTCTGCTATTCAAGTTGGTATCCAGAACACGTTTGGCTATGTGCGACAAAGCAATGAATTTCAACCCCAGACAACCCAGAAACCCCAACCGATAGCCCGACCTGCGAACGGATTAATTGTAGGTAATTCTCTCAATAATGGCCAGCTTTTTGACTCTTCTCCCCGCCAATTTTCTTCTACAAACAGCTTCCAGTTTGGGAGCGGCACAGACAACAATATATACGAGAAATGGTCAAACGGGCTGGACATTTTCACAAACGGCATGGACATCTTCCCAACCAACACCGACCCGCTGCTGGATTTGACCTCAAAACTTATAAACACAGGCTTACACAATTCCAAACAACAGATCAAACGGCAGAAAATGATTTACCATTGCAAATTCGGCGAGTTTGGGACACTCGATGGTCAGTTCACCGAACCAAGTGGCGTAGCGGTCAATGCCCAAAACGATGTTATTGTGGCAGACACAAACAATCACCGCATCCAGATATTCGACAAGGATGGCCGCTTTAAGTTTCAGTTCGGTGAATGCGGAAAGCGAGACGGCCAGCTGCTCTATCCAAACCGAGTGGCTGTTGTCCGATCTTCCGGTGACATCATCGTAACGGAACGGAGTCCAACGCACCAGATACAAATTTATAATCAGTACGGTCAGTTTGTGAGAAAGTTCGGTGCGAATATTCTACAGCACCCACGAGGAGTGACTGTGGATAGTAAGGGCCGTATCGTCATTGTCGAATGCAAGGTAATGCGGGTAATCATCTTTGATCAGCTTGGAAACGTTCTGCATAAATTTGGCTGCTCACAACATTTGGAATTCCCAAACGGTGTTATTGTGAATGATAAAGAGGAGATATTCATCAGTGACAACCGCGCTCACTGTGTCAAAGTTTTCAACTATCAAGGTCTATTCCTGCGGCAGATTGGTGGGGAAGGGGTAACCAATTACCCAATTGGAGTCGGCATCAATACAGCCGGCGAGGTGCTCATTGCTGACAACCACAACAATTTCAACCTGACCATTTTCACCCAGGATGGTCAGCTGGTTAACGCCCTGGAGAGCAAAGTGAAGCACGCCCAGTGCTTTGATGTCGCCCTCATGGACGACGGCTCCGTGGTGCTAGCCAGCAAAGACTACAGGGTCTACATCTACAGGTATGCTCCACATCATATACCCGCCCTGGGAATGTGAATAGGGTTACCTTTTTCAAAAATAATGCCCCCATCCCACCCCTCTAACAATGGAGATGATGAAGAAGGAGAAATATAAATGAAGACAGTAAGTACGTTCCCGTGAACGTTTTTACCTGTTGCTACTGGAAGATTTTGGACAGGCACGTGGCTTGCCAGTCAAGCAATTGATTGGCAAGAAGATGGAATGACAAATCGATTGATTGACAATTGGAATATTTAATGAGACGAACGGTAAACGAACAGGATGTACGGATTTGAAAAACAAAGATGAACCGACGCTGAAAAAATATTGCGAGAAAAACAATATGAGAGTAAGGCAGAGAGTGAAAGAGGGAAAAGGTTAACAGAGAGACATAAGTAATGGTGAAAGCTGTAATGGAAAGAAATTGATTATATATATATATATATATATATATATATATATATATATATATATATATATATATATATATATATATATATGAAGAGGAGGAGTGATTTATTGGTATGCAACATTTCATATTACATCAGTCAAACTTGGATTCTGATTGGACAAATTGAACTCAGTGCAACTGGAGATGGAGGTGATTTGTTGCTAATAATTTACTTAAATGCTAAAAGAAATCACTCACACACACATACACATACACATATGTATATGAATGATTCAAGATGGTTGGTTTTACTTATGCAACAAATATACAGAACTCGCGGTACAGGATAAAGAAAATTACGATTGAAAAACATAGAAAATTAGATTGCGTTCCTTTCAATGAATAGGATATAATAAAAATAATCAATGTTGTTGGAAATGAAGATTACATATAAGAAATAAATCTACCCCGCCCTATTGCAATATTGAAGTTTAAAACGATGACCAAAGACAAAAATACACGAATATAAATTTCATTAAATTGTCCCTTCTAAGGATATCACTGAATATTGTTCATTCAACAAGCAAACTGGTTGATGAGACCATTGGATGACTTCAAGCCAAAGGTGTTGTGAATGTGCTCGCGACTTAGCACGCTTTGTAAATATATATATATATATATATATATATATATATATATATATATATATATATATAAATTTTTTGTTTTTTAAAAATAAAGAACTCAACACTGTCATAAACAGTCGATCAGAAGTGAATAATTTTGACATTTTGTTTAAACAAGAAAATAAAGTATTTAACGAGCCAAATTGATTCCAAATATTTTAGTTCGTGTAAAGGAAAGCAAAGGAAAAGAAAAGAAATGAACGTACAAGATATGAAACGGTTAAAAAATGATTTTGTGCATTTTTATTTTAACAAAAGACAAGAAGAAAGATGAATCTCTTTTTATTTCCGCGAATGAAATGATTAAATGTTGTTATTTGCAATTGTTTTGTTATCCGCAACAATATAATGAGACGAACTCTGCAATATTAACGCACGAAAAGGTTCAAAAAGTACTGATTGCAAATGTGTGCTGGGCTATTTATTAACTTATTTATTTATCTTACTTTTATTGAACGATGTTGAATTTATGCTCTTGGATCACAGGCTTTGGTCAAACAGAAAGATAAAGGATATGTACTAATGAAAAGTCTCACTTACGGAAGATTAAAGACACACGAGGACAGAAGAAAAAAAAATGTTGTTAATGTCTACGATTTCTCTGTTGTCTGGGGAAAGTATCATGGTTGAACGTTGAAGTCAGTTGCAAAAAAAAAAAAAAAAAAAAAAGGAAAAGGATAAACAAAGAATGATAGGAATTAACTTGCATTAATTTATTCTTTTATTTAATTTTCCACTCTGTTTCCACATTAACAAAATCAATAAAAAAAAGACCCCCCCCCAAAAAAATTTAAAACAGAAAATAAGCATTTATTTTTATTCTGTGGATGAAATCAGTAAATGTACACGACGTTAGCCGGGAAAGTTTAAACATTTAAGAGGATAAGCTTGTCATTTGAAAGAGGAAATATTACAGTTCAGCGCCAAATGCGTGTAAATACATACATACATACATACATACATACATACATACATACATACATACACACACACACACACACATATATATATGTTATATATATATGTTATATATATATATATATATATATATATATATATATATATATATATATATATATATATATATATATATATATATATATATATATATATATATATATATGTTATATATATGTGTTATATATATATATATATATATATATATATATATATATATATATATATATATATATATATATATGGCGTCTACGACAAATGTCAGTTCCGAAATATTGTAAGCCAACGTACAGCCGTTAATTGAACTTGTTTTCTCTTTTTTAAAAAAAAGTGATGTAAACTTAGCTAATTGCTGACAATTATGTGTTGTGCAGTCCGTGATTGTTACATGGTAACAAACGAAAAATGTGGTGAATTCTTTGCTTTTTTTTTTTTTTTTAAAAAAAACAAAAAAAAACTCATTCTTACGTGTACATTAGTTAAAAGCAATACGCCATTATTTGACAGGAGAAGTCAACAAAAAGTTATTATGATAATAACAATACCAAGAAAAAAAAGGAATAACACTCTATGATGTATTGCTTGGCACTGCCACTTATGTGAATTTATTCGACCTTCCTTCTCTAACATAGAGGAACTAAATTTCCTCGTGTCTTAAGCTTGAGGAAGCAGGATTGTTTCTTTACATTAGCCTCTTACAGAATTTATGTGTGTCCAGTGTTTCTTCGCAGTTGTGTTTCTTGCTGTTGCGCGTGGACTTAATTCCTATATTGTGAAAAGTTCATTACAAAACAATACTGCCCATGTAAAAACGAATATCAAATAAATGACAGATTTTCTTTCCTCAAATTTAGATGAGAATTTAATGAGTAAATCAACTTTCTCTAATCGGGATGTCGATTGCTAATCTCTGACGACATTCGTCTACTTGTAAAATCCAACCATGCTCCAAAGATCTGTTGTCTTTGTCAGTTATTGTAATACCATTTTAATTATTCATGCTGCTGCCGCTACTGGTGTTTATTTATATTTTTTTTTAGCTCTTCGTACAATACTGAATATATTTCATTTGTTAAATTGAAATTAATATTACATGTAAAAAGAATAAAACAGGTGCAAAGGCGAACAGACAGAAAGAAACGCTCAAAAATACGCATCGTATTCATACGTTATCGTATCCGAAAAAATACGTTCAAAGAAACTTGTTCCGAACCAGTTAAGTGTTGTGCTGTTGTTGAGGACCTGGGATTTTTTTTTAGGAAAAAGAAAAAAAAAACTCAAATAAAAATACGAAATCCATCTAAAAAAAGGAAAAAAAAAATTATGAAAGGAAAATGAAAACAAGAAAACGAAAGATTGTTTAACTGAAGTTGAATGCTACAGTTCAACAAAAGAGAAATGGAGGTGATAATCTGTGCCTAATTATACGCACAAAAGTGGATTGATTTTTGATTTCTTGTTGAACTATATTTCGCTAAGAAATGAACCATGTCGTGTAAATTCTGCTGGTTTAACAATGCTTCTTTGGATAAAATTAATTAAAAAAAAATAACGAAAGTATAAAACGAAAGTAATAATTCTCAAAAAAATGTTATTACTTTTCCCTTTCCCTACCACGAAGCACTGCCGAGAAGAGTTCTTTCCTCTTTATATCAAACCTCCGAGTATATGTAATTATTTCTGATGTTTCTTGGCGTTCATCATTCGTGTATTTTTTCTCTTTTACATCTTAAAAAAAGTGATATTTTTCTGCTGTCATTCAAACTTGAAAACAAAACATATGGTTATAGGCACAAGAAAGAAATCCAATTTTCAAAGACTGTTGTTTCATTCAAATTATATTTCCCTCCTTTTTTTTAAAACCATATTCTAAAAAATTTTTGCACCCGGACAAAATTGCAACCATGTTTCAAAGCTGAGCCCTTAATATACGATCAGAACGAAAGTCATTAGTAAAAAAAAAAAAAAATGCTAAGGCATTTTATGAGGACGATGCAAATGATGTTCATCTAAAACTATACAAAAGAAAAGAAATGTACAAAAACCTGAATATGAAACTGGCAATATATATATATATATATATATATATATATATATATATATATATATATATATACATACAGACAGATATATATATGTATAGACATAGATACATACGTATATATATATATATACATATATATGTGTATGTATACAATCAAATACACAGATACATACATACAAACAACACACAAACACACACACATATATATATATATATATATATATATATATATATATATACGTATATACATGTATGTGTATATATATATATATATATATATATATATATATATATATATATATATATATATATATATATATATATATATAATATGTACATTTTATTAAAGCCTGACTCTCCAACTCAGCCTACTACATGGTGAAATTCAGGTTTGGAATCAAGTGTAAAATTGGAGGCCCAAAGATGGCAGTAGATTCCAGGAACTGTGCAAAAATGTTCATGATAATGGTGATTATAATGGTGATGCTCTAAAACGAGGAATATATCTACATTCCATCAATAAGTTTATTGTGTTTTTGTGTGTTATTGTTTTCTTGACTTGTATTTTTATGTTTTATTTTTAAATACTAATAATGGCGTACCATCAGCAGCAACATCATCATCACCAAAATGAAACAAAGTCATTTCAACTGGAAAAAAAAAAAAAACAACTAACAAACTAACAAGCAAGAGAAAAACGAAAGGACCATTTGAGAAAAAAAATGTTACAGAAAAATGTTTCTCGTTTAATGAAAACGAATGAAAATTAAAGCAAATTATACAGACTAAATCACGTTGAATACATTGCAATGATTTTACGACATGGGCATCTTTTCCAGTCATTTGTACCGTAATTGGTTCTTTAAACAATACTTCCTTCTTATGTACTATGATTCATTATAGAAGAAAAAAGTCAAACAATAATTCATTCTTCATCAGACACCTTCACTTCCTCCGA